CTGATTTTCATATAAACAACGTAAACAACGAGAATGCAGGTGAAAATGGACCTGAATATGGAAACGAGGATGAAGGAGATTTTTCACCAACTGAATCTGAATTTGTGAGAAATATAAAAAATGTTCACAAATACATTGATATGGATGAATCTGGTTATAATAATGTAATTGGTAAATATTTATAGGACTAAAGTCCCGAACTTTGTATTTTATTTTGCGTGGTAGCTCACGTTATATCTGATATTGTAATAAAAAAACTTTTCATTACTATAAAAGTTGATTATTTTTTTCACGTGAGTAATTGGGTAATATTTAATCTTACATCTGAGTTAAAATCACATGATCTTGTGGAATAATGAATCTTTTGATTTATGATAATAAAGAAGCTTTCTGCATATATCACACTTGCAGTATATGCATTACTCGTAGTAATCACATCATATATGTCTATTTTTAAAGGCAGAGTTGCAATACGATTGATCTATTAAAAAACCGGCTAAGAAAAAGACGTTGTATTCATCATACAAAGCGCCTTATGAGTTATGGCTCTCGAATGTTCTGGTATATATGTTCATCATGCAACTTTGAAATAACTGTCCCTTGAATTTGTATATTATACATGTCTATCATGATGATTAAATATGTAATTCAAATCTCAGAATGGATGTATTACTCTGTTGACATTAGCCCATCCAATATTATGCGTATACACTATTATTTTGATTTTTTATCCTTTTTTGCGAATATAATAGAATATGGGTAGTGCATTTTGATTAATTACTACTATGATAATGTGATCGTTCAAAGCGTATTCTAAAAGCCCTGTCAATTTTAGACCTATTGTAAATTATATAAAAAGGTGTCCGCTTTCCAGTTAGTGAATCTTTTTATCCGCCTTATGCAAATATAAGCAAAAATCCTTTTTTCCTCTTAGATTCAGAAAAAAAGAAACAAATAATAACTATATATTACTTTGCAACTCGAAGTAAAAGAAAACTTTTTTCTTTTGCATATCAAAGATCAAGGAAGAGCGAAAACTTCTAATAAAATTTAAACCTACCACTAAACATGAAGTCGAAATGGATCATTTCGGATATCCGAAATGGTCGAAATGGTCGAAATCATTTCGACCATTGGAGGCTA